GGGCCCGGCAGCGCTGCTGTGCCCGGGGGGTCAGGGGTTGTGACCCTAAGCAGGGCAACGGCAGCTTTCTGGCCCCGCCACCCTGAAATTTGTGTTTTCAAACAAAAGTTTTCACCCCCCGTTCTCCAGAAATCCAAACAGAAAGGAAAATTTCCAGGGATTTTTTTCCCCTGGAAAGCCACTAAGCAAATAAGGTCCCATCTGCTCCAGATGAGTTAATAATTATACAGGCTTTGCAAACACAGTTGACAATAGTCAAGGTTTTGCAAAGCGCAACCTCTACGTGCACAAAGCCATTGGGGACGGGTGAAATGCTGGTGCGGGCGCATGGTCTCCCTCAATGTGTTGCTCACAGCTCACCATAGCTCTGCAAAATCACTCCCTCTCACCTGGCTGTGAGCACACTGTGACCTTTGCAAGTTTAGACCCGTCACATGTTGAAACCAGACAGTTTCATACAAAAAGAGAAGTTCTGGCTGAAGTCCACGTTTTTAATGTTTTGCTTCATTCCACATTTGAATGTGTACAACATCTAAAGGCAAACAGATTGAACGGAGCACCGCTACGGCTTTTTACACCAAATAGACACTCCTAATGTGTGATCTCGGTAGCCTTCTTCCAAACTCTCTTTAAGATGGGCACTTGCAATGAAGTGAAGACTCATGTCATCCCTGCCTTTTGCACTGACAAGTGCTGCCAAACTGCTCCCTTAAGAGTGACCAGCTGCTGTCTCATGGGTTATACTTAGACGAAACACTTCTTGAAGGATAATCTGCCTCTTACCCTATTTGTGTATGGTGATTAGCACAATGGGTGTCCAGGGCTAGGATCTGAGCTGATGTTACAATGTATATAAATAATAATCCCACCAGTCTCATTTTCAAATCTGTTGTAAAACACCACAGACCATAGCCGCAGTGACTTGTCTCAAATCCCACAGATGTCTCTGGCAAAGCACAGAACTGGACTGTGGTCTCCCATCTCCTGCTGCAGTAAGCAAACTTCTGGAACCATCATTGGTTTCTAGTCAGAAAATTGAGGGTGTTCTCCAGAGGAAGGATCTGCAACATTAAATGGTGATGACTGGGGCATTTAAAACAAGGCTGTTCTTTAAAAGGAAAAATCTAAGAAAGTATGTTCAGACTCAACCCACATCAGGATAATCAGACTGAAATCAGAGAAGAATGTTAGCCGGTGCCACAAAAAAGCAAGCATCTGGACAGCCACAGTTGTTTTGCCTACACTAGAAAAAATATTTACAAACTGGCAATAAAATCAAAGCTGACAATGGTCATCTGCTTCAGGGTCAAACCTTCCACTAGCTTTTGTGGCATTTTGTTCTATATCCAAATATAACCCTACCATGGCCTCTAGTGACTGGACTACTTGAGAGGTTTATGTAGAACCTAGGGGAATAAAACCGCTAAAAACATCCCATCTTGGGGAAATGGACTTTTTCTTCCTCTCTGTATAGCCCATATTACACTGTGTAGGCTACATAAACTTCAAAATCTGTACGAGAGATTATGTTTGCTGAGCATCACCCATAATGGAAAGATTTCTAAGTGTATGTATTAGTTCTGCTCAACCTTTATCAGAAAGCCTCTTCTGTTACAGTTTTCGTTTTAGCCCCTTAGGAAAGGTTACAGAGTCCTCAGTATAAATTATGTAAAATAATAAGTACTGAACCAATTTTGGCACCAACAGTAGTTGGTAGGTTGAATGAGTACTTGATTCGAGGCCCCATTAAGTGCTGACATGTTTACAAGCCACACTTTATTACCAAACGGATGGAGAATTTGGCAGTAGAGAAGTCTGAATCTGTTCAAGACCAGTAAGGCGAATACACTCCTTTAATCCTCGTCTCCTTTAAGACTATAACTGCTGCAGTCTGGCTTTCTCATGAAATTGTACAAATTGGAATACCAGCTCAAAGGAGAGGAGAACTCTTACCAGCAGCCTGGCACAACTCTCTGATACGTCTGGGGGGGTCTCACAGCCAAAACCTCATCTGTTCTCTGGGAGTCGATGGGATCCCAGAGCAACGGGGTTTCCAGCACTCGGAGTCAGAAGGTGCAGGTGAGGTCACAGAAGGGTGGCAGTGACAGGATGGGGGGACAGGGCGGCCGCAGGCTCCGCACGGCTTTCTCGTGACACCCGGCCAGCCCCTGCAGTGGGATTCTCCTGTTCACAAGCAGTATAAATCGAGAACACAGATCTTACAAGTGGCACCATTCCTCCTGGAGATTTTTTAATCATAGCTGAGCGGCTGCACTTTTTGTGTATAGGTGTGAGGAATTTACAGAGTCTAGGAGGTGGCTGTGAACTCTTCATTTACAGAAGAGAAAAAGCAAACGAACCCGCCGCTCGCTGGTGGTGACATGGAGAACGAGTCTGAGAAGGATGCAGGTGTTGTATTTAGTTACTAGCAAACTCACTTCAGAAATAGTCAGAAATGGCCAAAGAAAAAACTCCAGCACTCAAGAGGGACTGAGGTTGCTGCAGGCTGATCACCAGGTGGGAAGGCTTCCTTTTCCCAGGCCAGGCAGCGATGAGGAGAAATGGGGTGTCAGTGCCCTGAGATGGGAGCTGCCCTCCAGGAGCAGCTCAGAAAAAGTAAAATGCATCAGGAGAGGGCTTGCCAGTACCAGCTCCCAGGCAACTCCACCCAGCTGCCCCTAATTCCCACAGGAGATGTTGGAGCACAGCACCTTGTGAGACCAGATCCTGTTTGAGCCCTCCATCACCCAGAAGGACAGGCAGGGCGTGAGGGGCAGAAGAGTTTTCTGCTGCTGCCAGGCTGTGCTTGTACACAGCACAGTCAGGCTCCGGGTCTGCTCGCGGCATTTTGGCCTGACTTCCTAGCTTAGCGTAATGGTTCCTCTCAAAGTTCAAAGCCTCCTTTGGCCCGTCACTTAGTCATTACAAATTAATTTCTTATTTGCCTTCATAATGCAATTACTGTAAGGTAGTCAAGTACATGGGACAACTTCTCTCTTAAGTTCTTGTTTTTCTGTATTTAAATAGACTATAATGCAATTTATGAAGTGTTACATAATAATTTTCCCCAATGGATGTTCTAATAGATGAGATCCTTTATCAGAATATTTTCCATTGTTTCAAAATGACATTTGTCTAAATATCCTTTTTTATTTTTCTGTAAAGGTAGCTCTGGGGGTTTTTTTGATCCAGCAATAATAATTTGTTGCCTATTTGAAATTAGTCCCTTTTAGATAGCTTTTCTGCACACAAGGTTTCTGTTCTTGGCTATGAACTCTTGAAACTTTCAGTCCTTAAGTGTGAAAGCATAATTAATTACCTGCTATCAAGCCCAAATGTTTATATTATAGTATTTCTCATGGGTTTTTGACAGTATTAACTTCAAAAATATTATCACTAGGAAATACCTGGTCAGTTAATAGTTGGTTGCCATTTTCCCTTACATATTGGATTAAATAATTGTGGGTAAAATGCTGGCTGAATTTGACTGACAGTAGCAGCAAGGAGGATGGTATAATTGTTAATCCCACCCTATTCCAGAGGCAAAATGTTTTCAAAATGGCTGGTTGTTTTGCTTTTTTCTTGGTCTAAATCATTTATATTAGGAGGGAGAAAAAAGACCTATATTTTATTTATTTTTTCCACAAATATCTAACATATTTATTTATAATTTCTCTAGAAGTCTTTTGATATCCACAGTGGCATGACTTAAAATAGGAGATAAAGATTTTATACTCTTGACCAAGCTAAAGCACACACAGTTTTTTCCAAACCACAATAAATCTAATTTCTCTGTTTTTCAATAAATGACAACATTTAGGATATTAATTCCTAAATAATAGACTTTGCTTAGATACAAAATCACCTGTCTCATAGCTGTTTCCTCATAGATTCCTTCAACACTTAATAGTCCCAAGTTAGTATAATCACATAGTTTGACACATCACTGAAATAACTGATTCCTTACAGACTGTAAAAAAATGTTTATATCTGAGCATTTGCATTAGTATAATTTTGTCTGCATAGTGCAGAATGCTATGTTCCATTTTATAAGTTACCCCAGTTGAGCTGTTGTTCTGAGGTATTTCTTATGCCAGACATTGAAAATGAAAGAAGTGAGGACAACCTCGGTAGCTTTCATTCACAGCTGAAATTCCTTAGTATATATCAGTTAGATTTTATCCTAGCAGAGAAGGAGAACAATTTATTAAAATCTTCATCTGACCTTTATGTCCATCACTATTAGTAGTGATTCTAAGAAAGAACACTTCATTAGTTTAGCAGCACGAACTAGGACCTTGTTACAATGCAAGGCAAAAGATGATAAACATTTTCGCTACTCCACAGAGCTACTGAAGTATAAATTGATAGTGTGATTTATCAAATATTTGTACAACACAAATGAGGGGACAGCATAAAGCAACATACCCAGAGAACAGGCATTGTAAACCTAGCATGAGAGAAGGGATTTGCAGTTATCTGGATGCATCCCTTGTAAGTCACACATCAAACCATGGAGTGAACTCCCCTCCTAGCTCCTGGTTCGTGACTGGTACAAGCCATACATGAGTCAGGCTGACCAGAAAGCTGTGTCTGCAGCCCCAGCACCTGGGGAAAGAAGAGAGTGATAAAGGAGTCTCTAGACCCATTACTTTCTACTGCATTGGTTTTAACACCAATAATCGTGATTCAGTGCTTTTCAGTTTTTGAGTAACAGTATTACTTTCTGTAGCTTCTGTAACTTCTACAGCTCCACAGGGGTGCAGGGACCACTTCTGGATCTACCTCAGAAGGCTCAGTCCACACGCTGCAGGATGGCTGATGTACTGGGCACATGACAGCCACGTTATCAGGAGATAATGCAGCCTGGATGAGTTTTGTATAGCATAGACAGTCTGTTCCCCGGAGTGGGAAGTTTATTTTTATCAGGATGTCCAGCATTATAGGGCCATTAGGCAAAGAGGATCAGTGGGTTCTACCATAATGTCTCAAATCTTTGGTTCTACTTGTCTTGTGAGCTCTTTACATGGGACTTAGACCTATTTTTACCCTTTCTCGTGCTGAAGTAATGCAAGTAAACGCATCATTTGAAAAATAAAGTCTGGCACAAGGAAATGCTCTTAATGAAGGAGCTGCAGCTGCAGGGCTGGTTGAAATGTGGTGTGGGTGCCAGCTGGCCAGTCTTTCCCTCACACAAGTCTGCATGAACAGCCAAACTGCAAGCTCCATGTCACACATCAATGCTAAGAGACATTCAAGAAGGGTACAAAATTACAGGTCAATAGCCTGGACCTCTAAAGGGAAATAAGGAGTAAGAGAAGAAGGTAGTAAAAGCAGTGACAGGGAATGAAAAGAAAGATTAAGTGTTGGAAAAAAGTATGTATTTTGTTATTAGCCAGAAATTATTCTGGCAAAATTACTCTTCATTATTTTTGTATGCATTTATTCCTCTTAAAAAGTAATTTTCCAAATTCTCCTTCTCTGTAATGATAAAATAAATTTTGAACTGTAGGCAAGAGAAGCTGTATCACTTCCAGTGGGTCTGGTTACACTCAGTCCCAATGTACAATAGCATCCAAACGCTTTCTCTTCTGCCATGCTTGAAGAGTACTACAACGCATTCCCAGGCTGATAGCAGAGTCAGCCAACTGTGTCCTGCCCGTGCCTGGGGAAGTGTGAGTCAGTTCAGGACAGCTAGGAGGAACTGGCATGGGTTTGGCTTGTAGGCTTGTGGGAAACTGGGATGGAGAGGGGAAACTTGCTGTTGCCTGGTGGGCTCAGAAATTGAGGAAGGGGAGAGAGGCAGCTCATGAGGAACGAAGACCTAATGCAGGAGAACTACGAGTTCCCCAAATACAGGTTGCATGCTGAATTTGAGGAGGGCTCTTTCCAAAAGCTGCCAAGCCATGGCCAGTCTGCAGATCTGCAGGCCCAGAGTGAGCCCATCCCCACACCAGGGCCAGCATCACATGCATACAATGCACAGGGAGCGGTGGGCACGATGCGGGGCTGGGGAAGGAATGCCTCCGCAGCATGTTGAAGAGGGGTGCGGGTTCAGTGAGAGTGACAGGAGCTCTGTCACATCCAGGGAGTCACATCTGTGCTGCGCTTGCATTGACAAAATGAATCTGTTTGGTTTCATGGCAGACCAGAATGAAGAGACATCCAATACCAGTGAGTCTCCGGAGTCTGTGTCACTGGCTGACACCTCAGCAGAGAAGGCCAAACAAGGCTCTGACACTGACCTAGAGGCTGAAGGTGAATGTTTTCTGACCATCTGCCCTCACTAGCCTTTCCCCTAACAGAGCTGTACCTACCAACTGGTATGTATCCGAAATGGAGACCAAGGACATAACCCTGCCAGGTCCAACTGCACCTAATCTAGCAGTTGATAAAGGCAGGGGGGATGAATTTCCCTCTAAGAGCTCTCCCTTTGACATCGAGCATCTTCCTTCAACTGCTCTCTATACACCATGACTATTTCTTTGTTCCTCCTTCTCTCCTTTAGTCCTTAATAACCAACATTACCAGACCAGCCTGCTGCCTGGGCAGCAGGAGCAGCTAGCTGAAGCCAGGGATGGAACTGAGGCCCTGTTTGTGCACTTCTGATGAAACACTGCACAGCAATTGCGGTCTGCGTGCCATAGGTTTGCCACAAGTGTCCTAGACTTTTATGGTGGCTCTCCTCTTATCTCCTGCCTAGTGAAGTCAGTTGTCTAGCTAAACAAGTCCTGCACTCATTTTTGTAATAGTAGCATCTGTCCATAATTTAGGATGAGAACTTTTAAACTTGTTATAAATGGAAGGAAATTTAAAAAAACCATAAGAATGCAAGAAAAAAAGACTTTTTTGTTAGAGGCTTCAGATTGAACTGGAAAATGGCTTTGACAAGAGGGGAATTTGTCCTGAGGTCAGACCATTGAATGCATATAACAACATGGAGAAATACAAGCTCTAAGTATGGGGTTTGATGAAGGAATTCCAAATGACAGGTTTTTGTGGAAATACAGCCACCAGCTGCACTGATATGTCTCACTGCAGCTGTGTCAACAACACCCAATGGCCAAGATGAGAATGCTGGGATTCTTTCTGCTGGTTGTAAGCCAAAATGTTCTGAGCTGCCCTAGCTCTGCTGGCAATATCAGCTGCGTGCTTCAATTAAGATTTTAAAGAAAAAAAAAAAAGATGAAAATGTTTTTGCCTGATGCCAAGAATTCTCAATTACACCAAGAAAGGTTTAGTCACATTGCAGACTGGTGAGAAGCTACAAGAAGTCACTGGATGCCAAATGGAGAAGCAAGGAGGATACATTAACTCTTGGAGGTCTGGAATAAAGGGATGGGGAGAACCAGGGAACGATAACCCTTTAAGAGTAAAACCCTACTGTTGTTGCATAGTGTTACTTAATTTTATTAAGTAACTTAATTCATTTAAAAGAGGAGGGAGGATACTGAATGTACCACTCATCGATATACTTTTTCTCTGTAGATCCTGAGAAGGCCTTTGCAGGCATTACGGGCGCAGAGCTGTACTTGGAAGCATGTAGGCTGATGGAGGTGGTGCCTGTCTCACACTTTATTCAGAACTTGGCCAAGCCTTATATAAACCTGAACCACCATGGTCTAGGACCCAAAGGTGTCAAAGCCATTGCTATTGCTCTAGTGGTGAGTAGCCAATAAGAGTGGGGCCCCTGTTCTCAAGAACAATAGGCATTTTAGGCCTCTCTCAGGCCTGGAAGTCATCACTGAGTACACAGTGTGGGAGAAAAAGTCATGTATCTTCCCCATAGGAGCTCTGAGCATCCCTAATGTTTCTAATCCCCTGCACAGGCAAGTCTTGTGTGGCAACTGCTGGCCTTTGCTAGAGTTACCCCCAAGAGCAAACTGATGCTCTTCCATGGGACACAAGTCCCCAGTGCTCCTAACCCCTACAGGGCCAGAGGTAGGGCTGGAGGGATTGGTATGCCCCACTCTGGGTCCTGCATAGGGATGTGCTACACTCACCAATGGACAGGCCCAGGATGCCTGAATTGGAGCTTGGATGTGAACCTGGGTCTCCAGGGTGGCAGAAAGCAATGGAAAGTCCTACCCACTAAAAACTGCTTCAAAGAAGCATCTCTTTTGTATGCCAACTCCCACTGCCATGGCTCTGTCATGTCCCCTGATCACTGTCCTGCTCAGGACCTGCAATGCTTTCTGAGGTTTGAAAGAAATGTCCAGTGTCTGTTGAACTGAGGAAACTATCCCCTTCACTAACTTTTCAGCAGTTTTTTGTGTGTCTTTGTTTACCTTTGTGTCTTCCCAGTCCAACGCAACTGTCACCCATCTAGAGTTGGAAGACAACTGCATTCTGGCAGAAGGAGCCATATGCATAGCAGAGATGCTACGAGAGAATTCATCCCTTCAAGAACTGGTACCCAATCTGATGTAGTTTGTAGCCAAAATTATTGCTCACCAAGTTCAATCATCTGAAAGAAAACAAATTCATTCCATTACGATTTTAACCAAATAACCGTTGTTCCCATGCAAAAATATTCACATTCTGAATGTCATGATATTTTATGCTGCTGTACTTTTAAAAAGTACAAGCTTCTGAAAAGCAGAAGTGTGCATATGATGGCAGTCTGGTGAGTCTGGAACTGTTCTCTTCATTAGCAGATGTGACAATAATTACCATAACTAAGTATTTCTAGTTCATGCTTAGCCAACGGAAAAAATGTTTTGGTCAGGAACTTTCATTCTCCAATATGACATGGGGAAACTCTTCTAAACAGATTAAGGGAATAATGAAAAACTTTCAGTTATGAACTGGTAGGAATGGTCCTTCGATCTGAAACTGGGGTATACAAAATGTATTTTGATAGGCTATGGGATCTATGTTACACTGGAAGAAAAGCTTCTTGGCCAAATGTCTCTTGGTTCACTGAAGACAAAGACCCATGTGAAACTGATGGCTGTAGGGCTTTATTCCTGTTAGAAAGGATACAGGGTTAAACACACATATAACTCACATGTTAATTACTGTCTGGCTGACATTTCTCATATTGCTCATCTTGCATTATTCACTTGATATCTTGGGCATTAAGAAGACAATAAAGCTAATTCATTCTGTGGACTCATCCTTCTTATCCTCCCCTCTTTCCTTCCAGAACATCTCCAATAACCACCTAGACACAGCAGGAGCTGAAGCCATTGCCAGTTTGCTTTTGGATAACTTGTCCTACCTCCATGCTCTTCAGCTCTCAGGTGGGCTGTATGCACCCAAACAGTGATGGCAGTGGAAGTGAAATAACATGTGTTTCATTCCAGTCTCTCATTCTGTTAGTCAGACTATGGGCAAAATCAATCTCTCAGCTATGTCTCTGACGGGAACCCAGAGTAACAGTGGAAATCTAGATTTATAGTGATGTGATTAAATATTTGGCCTGCTCAACCTCTAGCACCTCTGAAAACCAGTCCCTTACGAGAAATTTAGATAATTGCTGGAGCGTCTCCCACATCTTGGGGTAATTCTACCCTACGGAGCGAAGTGGAATAGTGACTGACTTCTTACAGCCTGATATGGGCTGTGATTAACTGGAGGTTCCACCTAAAAGCACAGCTTCCTGCAGACCCCAGCACAGCATCAAGGGAGAGATCAGCGCACTGTTAACATACTTTTCCTCCCCAGGAAACAACTTTGGAGAGGAGACTGCACCATACTTTGCTGAGGCATTAATGGTGAGTTACCTGAAATCCAAGGTCATTTGCAGCCCTGGCTGTGTAACAGGCTCTGCTCATCTTGAAGTTGCTGCTCACTTGGCATGATTTCACTTGGCAATGCCCATATGATTTCCTGGCATAATTCTGCTAACTGCCTCTTGCTTACTTCAGAAATGAGAGAGGCTGGGAGGACACAGAGCAGGATGGACTGTGTTAAAATTTTCTCAGGACAGCCGTGTTAGTCTGGCTGAGAAACAAACCTTCAGGACTGTGTAACAGAACAACAGAACGACCTCTAGGTGGCAAAAAAATTTCAAGAAGCATAAGTAACCCAACTTCATATCATTTTGCAATTCTCCAGTAAAAAGAAGACGCTTGACTTCTCTGGTTAGTTCCTGTCTCAAAGCCTCTGCATCATTTGGCACCACCAGAAGCTGCCCTGAAGCAAGGCCTTGGCCTGATACCAGAAAGTGCTCTTGGTCAGGGTGCAATGGTGGGAGTGAAACAGGGGCAGGAACAGAATTGCAGGATGTGTTGCAGGTCAGATATGAGCTGTGTGAGGGAAGTCTGCACAACACAAAGTCCCATTGCTTTTGCTGGTTTGGGAAGATAATCACTGTGATGTTATATGCCTGACAAAGCTTTGTTTTGTGACATGCAGTGCTGCAATCTCTGTGCTGATGATCTCCTATGCATTGAAGATTTTGGTGTGTCTGATATCCCTCTGTTTCATCCTCCTGTGGGGGCCTTGGCATGGCAGCTGGTTGCAGCTGGCTGGAAGATCTCATTGTCTCTGCACATTTGTCTCTCTGCAGGGCAATTACCAAGTGAAGGAGCTGGATCTCAGCCACAATGAGTTCTATGAGAAGGGAGGACAGCTCCTGGGACAGATGCTCGGTAACTTAATTTATGACTCCCGTAAAGCTGGGAGTACAGGCACTGGGGGACTTGATGGTGTCAGCACAGTGAACATGTATTTCCTTCTCCAGAAAAAAGGGCCCATGACCTGGTGGGTAGTACAAAAGACAGGGCGCCCAGATTTATTGCTTCCTGCCTGGTCCACAGGCTCACCCTCATCACCACAGGTGACTCTAGCAACTATGACTAATGGATCAGAACGCAAATGCAGGATGAGAAACGACAGTAACAGAGCAGTCTGTGTCAGAGAGGAGAGACCTGAAAGAGAAGTCCCTCAGAGAGTATAAAGCAGAAAATTGCGTTTTACTAAAATCTACTAAAATCTAAACAAACTATTGTTTGTTTTAAGCTTTTGATTACAAAGTTCAGGAGTGATTTCAATTTTTCTTAAGTAGCCCACATGGTTTGAGCCATTGCACAGCAAGCAGCAAGGGAAACAGATTAGGAAGAAATAAAATTAAGCTGCCTAATTTGTCTGTTTAGACAAAGTGAGATCCAGAGTGTGCTAGTAGCCCTGGAGAGGGAAAGCACACAAAACAGTTACAGTCCTTCAGTAACCTCAGGTGCTATTAGCGCACTGGGAAAGACTTGCATGACTATCTGATGGCTGTTCTTCCCTCAGGATGTCCAACACGCCTGCTACCATAACGGCCACAAGCCTATGCTGTGAGCATCCAGTGTTCCTTGAGCATTTCAGTAACACAATGCCTTCAGTTTAATTAATGCTTTCCTTCTCCTGGTTCAGTATTTCCACTGATATGAACCTCTTTCTAATTACAGTCCATGTCTTTAAAAGACGGATCAATTAAAACTGCAGTGAGGGACAAGGCACTGTGCCCCTGCCTTGGACAAGCCTGCAGGCAACACAGAGATCAGTACTAAAACTTGTGACCTTCCTAGCCCAGAAAAATGCCTCTCCAAACTTAAAGGTCTTACAGCTCTTCTCTCCTTCCAGCTCACTTGAGGCAGGAGCAGCAGAGATTACTGCAGAATCTGTTACTTTTCTGTTTTGTTTCTTAAAGGAATATTTTTAACTCAGCTAAACTCACCATGTGCCTCCATCCAACCTCACATCCATGGAAAATCTGGATAAGAAATTCTCTCTGAGAATGAGAAGCAAGTGTTGGCAGCAAGTCCTACGCCTCCCAGTGTCGTGGTAGACACAAATGAATTCACACGTACCCTGCTCTAAGTAGAACTTACACGGTGAGGTGTGCTATGCATGTGAATTGGCACTGGCACATATACAACTGGGCACGGCTACCATATGAAGCTGAATTCCTCTCTTCTGGTAGTCAAATATACACAGAGTGAGTCTTGATATTTTAGATGTGGCAAGGAGAATCCAGCCATTTTTCACAGTAAGAAATACAGGCAGTGTCTATGAATATAAGAAATCCTCCCTCTCTCTATCTTCCTCCTTCAAAACTTATTCTTTAAGCCAGAAAAAAAACTGTGTTCCCTTTCTGCTTGTGATCAACACCCATCCTCTGTTCTTTGGATGCTGTGGACAGCAAAGACTCTGTAGGTACAGGTTCCTCCTGCAATCAATGAAGGCTGTTGCTGAACCCCCAGCAAACTTTCTCTTAGTCCCTAAGTGTGGGTCAGCAGCTGTGTCCAGACCACCCTTCATGAGCTAACATCTCAGTTTCTCTCTCCTAGCCAGCAACACAACACTGGAGATTCTGGACCTGAGCTGGAACCACCTGAGGAGGAAGGGGACAGTAGCACTGGGCACAGGTCTCAGGGTAGGAATGTCTCTGTTTTGTGATACCCTTCACAGTGATTATTACCAGAAGCTGGTTGAAACACTGATTGGGAACTCAAATCCCTGAGGTCTGAGCAGGATTCAGTAGCTCTAGCAAGGCTTATCCTACTGACAGCGGCAGTCAGTGCCAGGAGAAAGACTAAAGCAGTGAGTAGGTCTGGTGACTTACGTGGATGGAGAGACCCTGGTGACATTGCAGAGATGTTGGATTCATTGGGGCTGCCTGGATGTGACTTGAGGGATACTCCTGTCTCAGCCAGGCAAGAAAGGGTAGAGTGGTACAGAAGATGGGCATGCAGTAGCTAAGATCGCTCTTCTCTCCCTGGAGGGCAATGGTGCACTGAAAATACTCAACCTTTCTTGGAATGGCATTGGCAACGAGGGAGCACTGGCCCTAGGAGAAGCTCTCAAAGTCAATAATGTGCTGGTTCACCTGGACATCAGCAACAACCAGATCAACAATGAGGGAGTCAAGAAGCTCTGCAGGGGCCTTGAAGTCAACGGAAAACTCAAAATCCTGAAGGTAAAATAAAGCCCAGGCATGGCTGGAGGAATAAACAGAGGGAGAAGAAAGATCTGAGTCAGGAGGGACAGAAGACAGAGGTGAGCTGTCTGAGCTAGAACTGGAAATGAGTATTGCTCTGGGTTAAAGGTGAGCAGAGCGGAAGGAAATTCTACCCTGTGAATTTCTTCCAGGGCAACTAAATTGCACTATTCCCTCAAAAAATCCCCCAGGGACTGGCTTGACATAACTGCACACCCCTTATCACCCCAAAGTGGTTGATTCCTGTCATGTCTAGTCTCAGTCAAGTGAGAACCTAGGCATTCAACAAGTCTGCATATATACATAAAATATAGTTGTGAAGGTACATATGTACACATAATATGCATTTCAACCTAAGGCAAAGGTTCACACTGAGAAGGCAACTCCATTGGGAAGTTGCGTCGCAGAGTTTTGTGGGATAGAGAGGAGATGGTGAGGTAACAGACAAACCCATCAAAAGGGACCACAGATATTCTACAGCTCTGCTGAAGAATGGGAAGAAAGGGCCATCCTTGAGGCTACAGCATGCCTTCTGCCAGGCATTAAATCCTCATTCTCACCATGTCTGGATCTATGTCTCTTTTTCCACAGATGGCAAATAATCCCCTGACTGTGGAAGGTGCCACTGCACTAGTCACATCTGTCAGAAAGAACCCCAAATCCATGATGGAGGAGATCAACATCTCAGTAAGAACTTATGTGCTGGAAAGTCTCCAGGACCATACACTATACATTTTTAGGAACTGGGTGGATCACAGAGCTGCCCCCTTCCAAAACTGTTTTGAGACTTGCTGTTTGTTTCATTTATGCACAGCCATTAATAAAAAGAGGCTACTATTTGACAGCCCTTCTAGGAGCCATGTGGAAATTATAGGACTTTGGTCTAGCTCTGGAGAGAGGTGCCTGTAGTATCACCACATTTCACTCCCTTCCATTTTGCAATAGCAGAACAAGGACAAGGATTGAATTCCCACTGGAGGATGAATTCTCTTCATCCCCTGAACTGTCTCCCTCCAGGGTAGCCTAAGATGCTAGATACTGTGAAGTGCTTTGATACCCTGTCACTACGTATGAGGAGTAGAAGATGCTTCAAGGCACTGAAAGCAAAGCAATTTTATTTAAAAAAAAAATAAAACAAACATTAAATGTGGAAGGAAAAAAAAATCAGAGGCCAAATCTTAGTATACTACTCCATAGCAAGTCGGGAGCACGACACGTATTGTTGTAACCTCATGCGCTGCTTCTAAAATGGGAGACCCAGAAATGCTTCTGAGCTCCTGAGTAGGGGCAGAGGTTGCACTGCAGACCAGCGCTGGGGAGAGACCTGGGCACGCATCAGTTCCACTCCTGGCCCTCCCATCCATGCATCGGTGCTTCATGGGAGCAGTTACAGAAGGTGTCAGTGGCCTCAGGACCCTCCATCCACCTTTGGGAGCACCGTGATTACAGGAAAGAGCATTTTCACAAAGATTAGGTTTGGGACTTGGAACATAAATAATATGTTCACACTTGAAACAAGCTAAAAAAAAGTTCATGGGCCGTTTTGGATACTCACGTAATGGGTTGTATTTAAGTTATATCTGCATGTGTTTCTTCGTCCTGTGGTTACTGTATCAAAGAAAGAAATTAAAACAAAGCATAATAAATAATATTCATCTATGGTCTTTCCTGAGAGTATTGAGGGCTTTCAACAGAGATATGTGAAGAACAGGCGTTTCTCTAGGGCAGATAATTTCTCCTGCATAAATTAAGATCAAAGAGAATTATTTGCCAAGTCTGCAAGGAGTCAGGCCTTACTCTGCAAAGGAAAACTAAACCCCCTGTGCAGGCAGGGGCAAAGGACTTCATTACAGTATACGTGGTACTGCTAGTTTTATTACTAATAACCTAAACAATTCATACACTTGGAAAGAGTAATGTATTTTAGCTAAATTCTGAGAAATTAAAGAAATTATTGAAATGCATTTATTTAAAAGGAGGCACTCAAGAAATTTTGAGGCAAAGGGTTAATTAACATTACGAATCTTCAATCTAACCTAAGTCTCACTATGCATTTCTGCTTTTTAGGGTCAACAGATGCTCTCTTCACCTCACCCTTCAAAAAGTCTAAATTACCTGGCATTTCACAAGATAAATGGTCAATGGCATAAATTTACAATGACATTTCAGTATCCAAATCAAATGCTTGTAGGCAAACATCTAATCTATCTGACAGACTTCATTCCACCTGTGATGTAGGAAGTCTTGCATTTCAATTCAGAGTATTTGCAAATACGCAGCTCCAAAGATCTTATGCTGTCTTACACCTTTAAGAAATTAGTAAAGGTTTTAATCTTTTATAAGAAACTTAAGGGAAAACATAAACAAAAGCCTCTTCTGCCCCTTTTCCCAAAGGGGAAAGTTTATCTTGACTTTTAAAGAATGAATAATTAGTGTGTCTGTAAGAGGAATTTTGAATAAGGATCATATCTAGAAACCTTTGCATGGGTTTGACAGCACTAGCAAAGGTGAAGTAATAGAAAGGTACATTTTTAACAAGTTTATTGCTTCTGACAACATTTCTAAGCATGACTGTTCCCCACATTCTTTTCATAATCTACCCTTTAGGGTTTCAACTTGCAGATACTGACTATCAAACATTTAATAGAAATCATGAATCAAAATAGCCAGCACATGCCCCTCTTCACCATCACAGTACAAAAGAAAATACCATCGTTTTTCAGCTGTCCGTGTGTTGTTTTTCTGGACTGTGAACTGACTGTGTCAAAGAAGCAGAAACACACAAGCTGGCTCCCTCCAGGTGCCGCCCGACCCCAGCACAGTTTGTTAGGCCAGAGCTTGGCTATGCTGCTTCTGAGGCCACACTGGCGGTCCACTGGCTTTCTCATGAGGTCAAACCCAGGCTGGCAAGCTTTGGAGAGAGCGGGCAGCCAGCAGAGCCAGCTCGGGCTCTCCTGTGCTGTGTTCCCAGGACTAGGACACTCTGCTAGCGTGCATAGTGCAGGGACATCTTCAGAGAGTCACTCTGCGCCCGTAAAACCATCGGTGCTGAATGAAAGCTAGTAAACCCAGCCAGACCCAGACTCGTTCAAGACTATCTTCGAGTAGTCACAGTCAAGAGCTCAGTGCACAGTAGATCGTAAGCTTCTAGATGGATCTTAAGAGCGGTAGATCTTAAGCGTCTAAAAAAGAAGCTATAAGAATGCATTGGGAGACTTTGTAAATACACTTTGGGAAAAAATATGGTGCTTGATGCCTTGGAAACCTCCCGCAGTGACAGAAAACAGAAGCTTCCATGAATTTCCTGAACTGCCTTGAAATTTCCGACAATTAAATATATAGCTAACATAATACATGAAAAATTGCTCTGCCATCATGGGTATGAACAAAATCATAATCATGGTTTCAAAAGATCAGTCAAGGCAAAGGCAAATTTGTCATAACTTAAATTTCGAAGAGTAAATTACAGTGACATCAATATTTGCATTGATAGTTTACTTTCTAGTATCACAAACCCCTAAATCAGGACACTGTGCTGCTGCCCATTCTATAAGTACTAAACCAGAAAACTCACCAGTGAGCTCTGAAATGCTGAGCTGTCACTACCCTGTTTGAAATCCTTAGGAAAAAACAAACATCAGGTCTTCGTGGATGGATTGGAGCTTTCTATTAGGGTTACACAATGAAATAGAGCTGTACCAAAAGTTCTTTTCATCTGGAGACACCTGGACCCATGCCAGATAGATGTGTCTTTCTTGTCTGGGCTATAAAGCTACATTGCTGGAGATACTAATCCTTTTAGGCCTTGGATGATTTTTTTTTTATTTTTGCAGAACTCTATGGCACATTTTGGCCATTAACTGTTCAACTTGCAGTCTGCATCTTAACTGAATGGACAGGAGACCCACGTAGAACTATCTCAGGGATGAACGCGGATCAGTTGAATAACCTAACATAAGAGGTCTTCAGTGTAGACATTTACCTGATGAACATCTAGCTTGCATTAAGTTAATTGCTACCTAAATTAGTAGATCCTTTTCTGTATCAGGCATAGGAAAAGAGAAAGAACACCACCTGTTTAGGGTTAGGACTCCATGGGATTCCTGAAAGTGAAGAGCAGAGATGGGAGAAGGCACCACCCGTAGGAGAGAATGGTTAATATTGACTTTTTATGGATTTGTTAATAAAAACAAGTCTTTGTTGTTCTTTGGGTGTCCGCGCTGACTGCACTCTCCTTCCTCCTATGTACCAGAATGTGTTGGTGAATGAAACTTTCATCAAGTTGCTGGATTTTGTGTGTCGAACGCGTCCTGAACTAGATGTCATCTATGGTGAGGTCGAAGGCTGTATCGCCAAGATTTCCAAGCAGCATCCAAATCCCATGAAAGTGATTCAGGTGAGCTACTGAATTTGGGTCCATAGCTCCCCCATACACAGTACACATGCTCCAAGCACTTGGAGGGATGGAGGTTGGAAGGGGTAAGCTTTCTTGCAAGTGGGAAATTCAGCCAAGTTCCTTCAGAAAAGTGTATTCACAAAGACTGTCATGATGTTCACATATCAGTCCACGCAGGTGGACTAAGCAAATCCTTTGATCTTCAGAAGAAGCTAATGCCTTGGGATCTGAGAGCACTGGGGAAAAAAAATCTGAATAGATGTTTGCTCACTGTGTAAAACAAACTGATTGATTTCAGGTCTGATACAAATGAGTGTCCATTCTCATCACAAGCCCACCGCAATAGCTGACTTTCACAGAACCCTTCACTGACAGTTGTGCTTTAGCATCAAAATTGATGTGCTTCATAAAAGTAGGTGTCCTGGTTTCGGCTCGGATAGAGTTACATTTCTTCCTAGTGCTGTGTTTTGGATTTAGTATGAGAAGAATGTTGATAACACACTAATGTTTTCAGTTGTTGCTAAGTACCCGGCGAAGGACAGCTTCCATGCTACCAAGCAGAGGTTGGGAGGGAGCATAATCGGGACAGCTAGCCCAGCTGGCCAGCGAGGTATTCCATACCATGCTCAGTATATGAATGGTAGGCGTGATCCAGGTTATCGGTCAGTGCGGGTGGTGAGCAACTGCATTGTGCATCACTGATTTTGTATATTCTATCATTATTATTATTTTCCCTTCTCGGTTCTGTTAAACTGTCTTTTATCTCAACCCATGAGTTTTACTCACTCTTACCCTTCTGATTCTCTCCTCGTCCCACTGGGGGGGGCGTGGGGATGGAGCGAGCGGCTGCGTGGTATTTGGCTGCCTGCCAGGTTAAACCACGACAGTAGGATATGGTATTAAAAGCAAATACTGTCCTAAATAGAAATTACTTAGCTTCTCAAGGTCTGTAATTTCTATGGATAGCAGCAGATGGTGCTGTCCTCCTTGCTGGAAGGCAATGCAAGCACTTGAGCATTGCGGAGTTAAGTAACACTTTTGCACTACCAACTTCACTGTGTTTCTTAGCTGCTGTGCAGATTTTTAGCTAATTGGCTGAGACTTTTCTGTAGATATGGATCTTCAGATGAACTTTAGCAAAAGCTTGGGCTGTTAGCTCACATCAAATAGTGCTGCTGTGCTTCACAGCTAGTGACGCTCACACTAGCATGCTTTGCAGTTTTTAACAGCAGTTATGGTACTCAGATGCGTCCTCATTCAAACAGACAGGAATTCAAAGAAGAGCAACTAAAATGATTAGAGATCTGGGGGAGAGGACTGTCTCTGGTTTAGATAGCCTAGCCAAGCAGTGGCTGCTGGGATGAGGACCAAATAACCATATGCAATTATCAGAAGAAACAGGTTTACTGCTGAGTCTTGTTTCAAGGTAGGGGGAGAAGGAGGTATAACTGAGAAGAATGGGATTAACCTGAACAAAAGGATTTTGTTCTGACAATAGGGTGGCTGCACAAGGAGTTATGGACTCATACATCTCAGTGACAGGCTGAGTAAAGGCAGGTGACAGATGGAAGAATAAGGGGAGAGCTGGAGGAAGGTATCAGTGGCTGTTTCATGGTTATGCCCATGTTTTATCTCTGCTTCTCTTAGAACTACTTGAAAGAGCACAACCTACGACTCTGGGACTTTTTTAGAAATATTGACAAGGATGGAGACATGAAGATCCCTGTGGCAGCCTTCCGGAGAGCCATGATGCAGGTATGCCTCTGAAAGCACAGCCAGGATGCTCTTCTGGCAGGGTGCTGCTCTGGGGAAACACCTCTGCTGCAGCACAGCCACCAGCCAGCCTTGCTGGTGACATTGTTCAGACTAAAAGGCTAAATTCACCCATTGCAAAAGTTAAGCCCTGAGCAAAAGTTGAGACCCAATAGAAATGCTATGACATCCAATAAATACTGCAGATGGCATCAGTGTTAATGGATCAACTTTAGAGTATCACAGGAGGCTTGTAAAATAACAGATGTCAACTGTTTGTATAGGATATACAGGAGCTTGATAGATAATTATGTCTTACTGCTATGGGAAAGTGAAAAAGAGGCATTTAAATCCGTGCCTCTACACACTGAGTAGACGGTGCTCTTCCTGCCAAAACCACCATGGTGCTTGGGATCAGTAGCAATGGTCAGCCAGCCATGATGCTATTTTACAAAAAAATGCAAAAAATTGTTATTTTAATCCTAAAAGAGTGAAATTGCCTCCCCACTCTCCGTATTTTTTCCATCTCCTCTTCCATGCACCAGGCCATCTGCTTACCTATTAAAAGATGATGGGTCCCAGTATGATATGGAGGATTTTTCTGCTTGAAAATTTGCTAACATTTATCTTATCCTCTTAGCAGTCAAGCATCCCATTGGACCGAGTCCAAATTGGGGAACTAGTGCGCAAGTTAGACCGGAACCGGACAGGGGTTGTGGACTATAGGTGAGTGAGTGACTCCACAAGTCCTGGCTTGTCTTTCTTTTCTTAATTTGGCTCAACGCCAAATAAACATATTCTTACTCACTTTAGAAGGTGAAGGGACATATGTTTTTGGCTAAGTAAAACGTAGATGAAATAACACCTTGCATGCTTAGAAGCCCTGTTGAGTCAAACTAGAAGTCAGTCTTATTTTTCTGTTTGATAAACTTGCTGTGAGAGCGCAGGGATCTCAGAGCTGAATGGCATTTTCATTCATGCTCGTAAGCCTTTGTGAGAAGCATCAGCTCAACACTGTCCTCCCCCTGAAGCCAGAGTAAGATTTGCAAAGGCAGCGTATCTGTGCCTTCAGACCCTCCATCCTCAGGGACTCTTGGTTTTTTTCCTTCTCTCTGATCCTCCTTCTTAGGAGACCTAGTTTCCCGTGGAAACCCACCTTCAAACTACAGAACTTTTCATTCTCTTGAAAGTGTCTATTCCTTAGTGCCTGTAGCAATCATGTCCAAGTTCTGAGAGCCTGAGCAGTCAGCAGCAAACTCCTGAGAGGTTGTCAGTCGCTGCAGGCTAAACCGCTTGTCATTGGACCCAAAATTCCCCTTAGATTTCCTGTCAGTTCTGACATGTGACTCATCAGCTGAAAGCCCTATTAATCATGCCCAAATATTCCCATCCCTCAGCACATATTGATGGGTTTAAATTTATGCTGTAGTCTAGTTTTAAGGCTAGAAGCAATGGGTCAATTTTGCAAATCTCTTAACCTCTTAGCTTCCTAATGTTTTCAAAGAGAAGTGAATTACGTTATTAGATCTGGTCTTTATTCCTTCGCATACGTCGGTGCTGTACTAAAAGCATCCATGCTCAGACACTAGGCAGGCCTTAGCCTGGTTAATCTTGAATCAGAGATTACATGGGGTTCCCAAGTACTTTAGGCACAAATTACAGAACAGTGGTTAAGTAGTAAGCAAATTAGGAACCATTAAAACCCAATGGTCAGCAAAGACTTCAATTGATGCCATTAGTGCTGCTGAGTTGATATGTGGGGAAAAATAAATATCTACTTCTTATCTAGCTGCTTAATGTATTTTAGCACTGTAGCATGTATGGTAGTGGTAATATTCACCTTGTAAACAAGTCAGAAGAGTTGTGACCTTTGCTGTCCTTACTGTTCCCACCTCAGGCTGTTTCCTCAAGGTCTTCTCAGCAGCTTTAAGATACCTGACAGTGAAGGTTCACTTTACTAAATTAATACTGGTTCACCTCTTTCTTTTCAATCAGTCACTTAGAAGAGCAGAAGCCAGCACAGAAGCCTGTGGAAGGGGAAATTGAGGAGGAAAAGAATGAAGAGCCATAAAAATGAAGCAAGGAGGCAGGTCAGACAGTGAAAGATTGTAGGAGAAATACTGGAAGGAGGCTCAGAGTGGCCCTGGGCTTGGGGAGGCCCAACACTGGGGAGCTCTAATAGTCTAAGTTACTGAATGTAGAAATAAAGTTGATGTTCCACTACACAGCAGGCCCTATACAGTCTGGTCCTTTTGGTTAGGGGCAGAAGAGATTGGTCCTTTGGAGCTGGTTACCAAAACTGTTTCACTCTGCATGCTGATGATGCTGAACTTATTTGCAGAGACGAAGACAAAAAGCAAGAATGGGGAAACCAAGAGAACTCATTACTTTTATTATCCCCTTTTGAGGGAGATCAGATGGACAAAGAAAGACTGAAGGAAGTGCCCTGCAGACAAACCCTACAAGACCTAACAGTTCTGACACAGGGACCTTTGCAAGAGAAGAAGAATTAAATTCAGAAGAAACTACAACTCATGTTGCTCAAAAAGTTATGGGTAATAAGAATTGTATTAAATACCTCCACGGGAAAAAATATGCTAGAAGGGTGGAAACCATAACAGATTTTAAATCGCTCAAATACTAAACTGCTTTTTTTAAAACCAATATTTAAAAAAAAGAAAAATATTTCAACAACTCTTAAGAAGGAATGAAAGCCTTGTATATATTAATATTTATACATAAATAGAATTTATAAAATGTAAAAATATGCAGATGAGCAGAGCCACAGGAAGTATATTTTGCCATGTGCAACTGCTAATATAGATTATACCACCAAGAAACTTGGAGAACTGGGAAATGTTGGCCCCTCTGGGAAGACCAGCCTTCGGTGGAAAGGAAAAGAAGCTGGTTACCATTTGGTAAGTCTTTGTGTTTCCCAGCAGAATAACCACGTGGAAAAAAATCTTTGAATTACAGTTCAGGTGGCTCCAGTGCCTCATCAGAAGTCAACATGACTGTTGACATGATGGCGTT